CCCCAGTTTTCTCAGGTCAAAATTGTTAGAGCTTCACTCCCATCTTTGATTCTGCATGGCAACTGCTAACGAGTCTGATATTCTTTAAACACGAATTTCCAGTAAGCGAGTTGTCCTATTTTTCTTCCTAGCTCAACACCTATTATTTTGCGTAGATTTTCTTTCCTCTCGATACAGATCAATTGAGGTTCTCACCTGACCATTTTTCAGTTCCAACTCATCCGTGTCACTCTTCCTGTTTTTCTCCACAACCTTCCTGTTCACTTACATCTCTCTCTAGCTACGGTCTCACCTGGGAAGCTTTACCTGGGAAGTCTTACCTGGGAAGCTTTTAAGACATACCCAGACCTGGGCTCCCTTCCCATGACTTTCAGTTAATCTGTCTGAGGTGACATCTTGGCATAGATAACATAGTTTGAAGCTCAAAAGGTAATTCTAATATGAAGCCAGGGCTGAGAAGCCCTACTTTATGCAATACCGATTTTATTTTATTACTATTATTTGTGAAACTTGATCTCCCACTAGAGTTTTCAGCACTTTAAGTCAGAGGCCGTATCTGATGCATATACGAATTCCAATGCCTGTTGAATTTTTTTTTTAATTTTATTTATTTATTCTCGAGAGATACAGAAAGAGAGAGAGAGGCAGAGAGAAGCAGGCTCCATGCCGGGAGCCTGATGTGGGACTTGATCCCGGGTCTCCAGGATCGGTCCCTCGGCCGAAGGCAGCACTAAACTGCTGAGCCACCTGGGCCGCCCGCCTGTTGAATTTGAACTTGTGTGCCAAATACTCTGTGGGTTACTCCAGAAGACCCAAAGTTCAAGAGGACATCTCTTCCTCAAGGAAATCACAAACTATTACAGAAGTATCGGACAAGAACAAACGTAGTGCATCCTAACTCTGACCCTAATAAGACTATTAGGGGCATAAAGATAAAGTTTTAGGAGATAGAGTCGAATCAGTCTGACAAGTCAGGAAGACGTAACGGAGCAGGTAGACAATTAGGACAGGTGACACGTGGAATTTTGAATAGGATTGCGTGTATGGTTCCGACAGAAAGAAGCAGAAAATAGTGGGCAGATGAAAACAGAAGAATTTCTTGTAAACAGGAACTGAGTAAGGAAAAAAGAAGAGGTGGAAAAGTGTGAAGTCCATCAAGGAAACAGTTTGTGCGGCATTTAAGAAGCTAGTACAGGAGAAAACAGTGGTGAAAGTAGAAAGTTGGTGGGCTGAGACCACAGGGGCTTTGCATGCCCCGTGGACGATCTTGGACTCCCTGAAGGTTTCGAAGCAGAGGAGTAAAACACTCAGATATTTGTGCTTTAAGAAGAGCACTCTTCCTAACTGATTATCTTGTAGCTTTTAAAATGCATTTTTATGTGATCTGGATTGCATTATATGACTACTATAAGCAAGGCTTATTTTATTTAAAAATTTTTACTTACTTACTTACTTATTTACTTATTTATTATGTATTTATTTATTTATTTATTTATTTTTATTTATTTATTTAGAGACAGTGAGAGAGGATGGGGAGCAGAGGGAGAGGGACAAGCAGACTCCGCACTGAGCACAGAGCCTGACGTGGGGCTCGATCCCAAGACCCTGAGATCATGACCCGAACCAACTGCAAGAGCGGAGGCTTAACCAACTGAGCCATCCAAATGCCCCTATAGGCAAGGCTTTCTTATACTAAAACCCTTTTCATTGTGTGCTCAATGTGTTCACCAAAAAACAGATCCCTGAGGAGCAAACACATAATTACATCTGTTTTCAGACGAAAGTATTTCATTGGGATAGCTGAGAAGAAAATAAATGAAGATAAAGCAGTATAACGGTTATGGTAGTTCCCCTAAAAAACTGGACTAAAGGGCAGCCCCAGTGGCGCAGTAGTTTGGCGCCGCCTGCAGCCCGGGGTGTGACTCCGGGGTCCCAGGATCAAGTCCTGCGTCGGGCTCCCTGCATGGAGCCTGCTTCTCCCTCTGCCTGTGTCTCTGCTTCTCTCTTTCTCTCTCTCTCTCTCTGTGTCTATGAATAAATAAATAAAATCTTAAAAAAAAACTGGACTAAAATATTTGGCTCTCTTTTGGAGAAGTATCAAAAGAAAGAAGAGGTGAAGCTAATTCCTTCACTTGATGTGCTTTTCTGCGCTGCCAAATGTAAGTAAGCGTGTACGTCTAAGTTAGTCATTTCACGTGGTCATATTTACTTCTGTTATTGCTTTTGACTTACCAATGCAGTATTTGTTGTTGAAAAAGCCTGCAGAAAAATAATTTGCTTATATGATGTCGCTTTAGGCTGGAAGTCTTTGTATAAAACACATCACCTCTTAACTTGATGGACAGGCTGATGCCATGCTCAGCAAATCATACTTGTCTTATATCACCTCCCTATGAAGTCCTCTTGAGATCTACACCAAATTGTTTTTTTTTTAATTAAAAACTTCATTGCATTTTATCAATAAAGACATCAGTAAAACAATGGGATGTATAACACATATGAAAAACCTGAAACAAATCAATGTTTATAAGCGTTGGATGCTCTTTTCTCTTTTATTTTAAATTTGATCCTAGAAAGGTGTGTATGTGTGCGCATGATTATATGTATATAAACTGAGAGGTGAAGAACGGTGAAGAATTCAGACATCCATGCAGATATTTTAAGTTAAAAAATATTATTCAGAGCTCAACCACACAACTCAACATTTAATGCTCTTTAATAGTAGCATGTAGTAATATTTTAGGAAGTTTCACGGTCAGGTTCCACGTATAATCACATGCCAGTGTTTTATATCCTCAATTAGATTTTATGTGCCCTGTGGACAGTTTTCAGTCTTTTAACTATTTTACAAACTCTAAAGTTTTAGAAAAACAGATAGATTAGATGAATTCGGGGGTCCCTGGGTGGTTCAGTGGTTTAGCCCCTGCTTTCGGCCCAGGGTGTGATCCTGGAGTCCTGGGATGGAGTCCCGCATCGGGCTCCCTGCATGGAGCCTGCTCCTCCCTCTGCCTGTGTGTGTGTGTGTGTGTCTTTCTGTGTCTCTCATGAATAAATAAATAAAATCTTAAAAAAAAAAGATTAAGATGTATTCTCAAGATTAGAGACTTCTAGTTCCAGGCGAGATGGAGTGAACACAATCTATTTTACTTCTCTAATTACAAAAAACACTGTAGAGAAAACCCACAAGTCATTTATCAGAAGAATCTAAGAGGTGGACAAATGATGGCAGATTGACTCGGTGCCTTGGGACTTAAGGAATGACATATTGATGAGTTCCATTTTTTTTTCTTGTCTCATATATCCTAGCAGTGTAGTAAAATGCCAGATAAAAATGGCATCCAAGAAAAAGCCAAATGGCTAGTAAAGTTGGCCAAACAGAACAAAGAACTTTTAATCACACCTGCCCATTCTAGGGATGATACCACAAAAATGGCGGGTTGCTCCTCTATTCAAAAAATACCGCAGCAAGGGGTCAGTGAGCAACATCCCTCCCTCATTAAGCCCACGGACAGAAACCTGAATTCCACTCCCATGGAGAGGGCATCCTTTCCCGAGGTCTGTGCTGGCTGACCTCCGGCCTCCATGGACTAAATAGGACGTGCCTCTCTCCTCAGAAACCCTGGTTGCAATTCTGATTTCTATTCCCTGCTGAAATAATAAGGCGATAGAATAACTTTCCACAGCAAAAAGTTTTGGGGAGGCTGTGACTATTAAGGGATCACCTGAGGAAGTTCCTTGGTGGTAACGGAACAGTCCTTTTTGATTATTTTGATATTTTGATGATAGTTACAATATATCAGTATATGTTATTCAATTATAACTTACTTTAAAGATTTTTTTATTATTATTTTTTAAAAAAAAAAGCATGAACGGGGAAGGAGCAGGGGGAGGAGCAGCGGGAGGGAGAGGGAGAGAGAGAATCCCAAGCAGACTCCTCCCTGAGCATGAAGCTCGAGGTGGGGCTTCGTCTCACCACCCTGAGATCATGACCTGACTTGAAATCTAGAGTTGGAAGCTCAACCCTATTGAGCCACCCAGGTGCCCCAATTCTGACCGACTTTAATGCTTTCTTCCCGAGAATCTGGACACTGAATGACAAATGTGTTATGTGATAAAACTTTTTTTTTTTTAAAAATTCTGGTTTTGCCACTAGATTTTCTGATACTATTACTAAACCAATTATGACTAAGAATAACTATTTTCCCCTAACTTTCAAAATTCAGGATCATAACCCAAGAAGAGTAAAGACTTGGAAAGGAAAGGAAAGTCACCCTTCCCACCTGAATAACACTCTTTATGGTTTACAGGAGTATAGACATATTGCTCGGGACACGGGGCTCAGTACACGAGGGATACACATCCCGATGCAGTATTTTAAAGTAATTGAACGCACACACACACACACACACAAAAAAAAAAAACGGAGAAAGTATATTAAAATTATAAGTAACAGTGATAATACTCTGGTTTTTGTGTCATGCTTTGCCTCTAAGGAATACAAGATTTTTCTTTTAATCTCACCATTTAACAGAGTCCTCTATTGATGTCTCTTTTTCAAATGGCACAATTAGATGACAGGCAGTGATGTGCCTGGCCTTGGGACACAATGGAAGTCGCTAGTAAAGCCAGAGTCATAAATTAGGACGCATGCTCTCCACCAAGTGTCCTTGGCTTCCCAGTTAAAGTAGGACATTTCAGCTAAGTCTCCACATGAATACCATTCATTGAATGAGAATACATCTATTTTTTTTTTTTTTGGTAGCATGGTTTCCAGACTTTTCTGCTCGCATAGCGCTACCCTATAAGCAACGCACTCAGGCATTCTAATTTTAATTTCTGTTCAGGTACTTTTTTTTGGACATTTGACAACTTCACTCAATGGGTTGGAGATGTCAAGAACTATTCATGGTGATGGGCCAAGCTTCTTCACCGAACCTTGGAAACAAACTTCCCCAAAGGGAAGATAATATCATTCATTAATGCACCCCGTCGTCACTTACTTTCTTCTTTCCATTTCGAATCTATGGAGTAGTTTCCGAAGACCACCGTTCTTAAATCCCTGAAAATGGGCGGCTGGGGCTCCCACGGTGATGACATCGTAGAGAGCATCTGGAACGGGAATGGACAAGGAGATGAACACTTTGCAAACATTTGTCTCCAGCACGCTATCTTCACTGAAGCGTACACACGGTAGGAGGCTTGAGGAATCATTCTGTTTAATTTCGCAGGAATAACTGCGAACTCTCATCTCAAGGGGGCAAGAGGAGCTGATCAATCTTTCTAAAGCCACCTGTGCACCTAAACAAGTTACGATGTTTCTTTGATTTATGACTACATCTTAATTATATGCTACTGTGTGGAACGGTATGTTCCCTCATTCTTCTATATACTTACTGAGATAACATGTTAATTGGCCTTTTGTGTATTTTACTTTATTGAGTTTTGCATCACTTAATTTGCAGTCATATTGAAATTCAACAATAACGAACAATCTTTACAGAGAAAATTTACAAAGAGAAGAACCAAAGTATTAATTCATCTTGGCTCAAGGGCAGAACAGTACTAGTGTATTTTTTTTATTTATTTTTATTTATTTATGATAGTCACAGAGAGAGAAAGAGAGAGGCAGAGACACAGGCAGAGGGAGAAGCAGGCTCCATGCACCGGGAGCCCGACGTGGGATTCGATCCCGGGTCTCCAAGATCGTGCCCTGGGCCAAAGGCAGGTGCTAAACAGCTGCGCTATCCAGGGATCCCACTAATGTATTTTTTTTAAAAAAAATCTACACAGAGTAGTTTCCTATCTGGGTACACTAAATCTTACACAGTTTTGAATGCATGTTTTTTGCAATTTTCTTAGACACATAGAAAGAATACACAAAAGGTCTCTAGGTCTATTTTCCACCGGGATACTTTTTTTTTTTTAAATAAAAAATCCATACATTTAAACTGAAACTCAATCCTTTGATCTTGAAAGCCATCAAGTTTGATACATATTAACTTTATGGCTTCAAAACATACCATCATTTTTACCTTCTAATGAAAAGTATCCTCATAAGAAGGAAGACAGAGTGAACATCTCTTGTTAAACTACATTTTATTTGAGAAACCTAATTTCATAGTAGATCCTTTTTAAATTGATTCTGGTAGTGACGCATTGGTTGTTTTTCAGTTCTCATTTACAGGGAAAACATAAATTTTATTAGCCTCAGGTAAACACCATAACTTCACACTGGTTCAATCCAAATGCACCTGGAATATTTTTCTTAATAAAAGACGTCTTCAAGTGAAAGGCTTCAGCAGCACTCAGAGTGAGTTCAAGGTCACACAAACAAAACAGAACAATACAGTAAGCAAACAGGTAAAAGGCCTCGGAGTGTAGCCCAAATCAACCTGTCAATAAGGCACGTTCTGAACAATCACTCAACAGACTGTTGGGGTGGTAATCGCTTGCCCTTTTAAGAAGTCACTAATAAACTAAAAGTTAGCTTTTCTTAATATAGCAGAATATTAGGCTTGTGTGCAATTTAAGGATTTCTTCATCTAGGAGGTTTCAACCTTAGGGCTAATAGCGTTTTGGGGGAACCTATGAATATATGCAAATTGTCTAAGTGTGTCTGTTCCGCTTCATGGAAGAGGGTCGCAGCTTTCCCACACGGTCATGGGAACACCCGAGAGTCACCAACACTAAATCCCAGTCCACCTTTGTTTGCCTGACGAGAACTCTGAGAACCTTGAGAAGTGACCTGCTTTTGTCTAACGTCCCAGAGACCTTCCACCCGGGGTCTTCCAACTCCTAATCCCGGGATGGAGAGCCGGGGGGTTAGTTAGTGGCTGGCACCTGAGTCCCCCTCTGGATCCAGCTGTGCCGCTGAGGGGCTGAGCAGCCTCATGGAAGTCGCTGCACCTCTCTCTGCCTCAGTTTCCTCAGCCAGATGATGGGGCTGAAGGGAGCTGCAGGTGGTGAGCGGAGTGGATTTTCCCCCCGGACTGTGCTGGCCCTGAGGAGTAATCCTACCCGTGAAGCAAAGGAAGATGGTACCTTAACCTTTGGTTATTTCCCAAGAAAATACACTTTTCAGTCTGCAAAGGAAGGTGATACTGAGGCTCAGTCTGCGGAAGAGAATCCGCTCCTGTGTTCATTTAAAGTAAATGCAAAAAGAAACATCACTGTGCCGCCGTGGACTGTGCTGCTCGTCTGCCGAGACCCGCGTGGACGGGGGCACACAGAGGTGACCAGGGATGGCCAAGATCCGGGTTGGGCTAAGGATGCTCAACACTGGTGGCGGGGCTGGTGCTGAGGGTACCGCGCCGAGGGACAGGGAAAGCGACAGCGATGCTTCTGGCTGGAGGGATCTCTGGGAAGACTCAGGCCTGCGGGCCGCAGGGGTCGCCGGGGTCACGGGCGCGGGTGGGAGGGTCGGGCTGGGTGCCCCACGTGGCCCCTCCAGCCGCTCACCCACTGCACTCCCCTGCCCGGGCCAGTGCACGTGGACACGGGGCCGCCCCCCTCCCGGAGCCCCACTCCAGTTCTTCTGCACAAATACCCAGAACTAGACTGAGCCATGAGAGTTCTCGTTCTGACTCCTCGAGGAGCCACCGGGATTTCCTGCGGCAGCTGCACCATCTCGCGTCCCCCAACGATACACAAGGGTCCTGATTTGTGCACATCTTGGCTCACACTCATTGTCTTTTGATAGTAGCTATTTTTAGACGTGTAAGATGGCATCTCATCGTACTTTCGATTTGCATTTTCCTGATAATAATCTTTAACATTTTTTCTATATACCCGTGGGCCACTTGAATGCCTTCTTTGGCAAAATATCTGTTCAAGCCTTGAGCCCATTGTTTAGTCAGGTTATTAATTCTTTTGCTATTGAGTTGCAGGAGTTTGTTATATATTTTGGAGATTAACTTCTCATCAGATATATAGTCAACATTTTCTCCTCTTCTGTATGTTACCTCTTTAGTCTATCATTTCCTTACCTATGCAGAAGCTTTTTAGTTTGATGTAGTCCTGCTTCTTTTTGTTGCTTCTGCTTTTAGTGTCCTATCTATGAAATCACTCTAAAGACCAATTATCATAAGACTTTTCCTCTATATTTTCTTCTAGGAGTTCTACAATGTTAGGTTTTATGCCTAAGCCTTTAATCCACTTTGAGTTGATTTTTGTGCATGCTACAGGACAAGGGTCCGATTTCATTCTTTTGCATGTGGATAGTGATCTCTTTGGTCTTTTATAGAATATGGTCCGTGGATGGATATATATTCATCCCCTTCCCATGGAGAAATCTATATATTTCAGGGTCCAATATATTTTTTTCTGGAGAGTGTACATAAATTTTTATTTCTTCAACTAAGAATAATAATACCTTATATGATCTATAAAGACATATAGGGCAAACTAAATTGAGCCACAGAATATTTGTTTATTTATTGACATTTACCGAACACCTACAACATGGATGACATTGAGGCATTTGAATGTTCTTCTGTTAATATCTGAAATATATTGAGGAGGGGTGTAAGTATCAAAGCCTGTGTTTTGGGCCAAGTGACTGAATGGCCACCCAGGTGGGACAGTGATCTACTGCACTGTGGATGCAGGGAGGCTAAGGCTGAAGGGCCTGGGAGAAGAGGGAAAGGAAAGAAAGTTACTCATCAAACGGTGCAAACTTTCAGTCAAGCAAGATAACTAGCTCTAGATAATTGATACAAAACATCGCTTCTATTGTCAACAATAAGGAATTGTACACTTAACATTTTGTTAAGAGGTAAGAACTTACATTAGATAGTGTGACCACAATGAAAAAAAAAAACGTCTAAGTTGCTGTCAATATTTCAATAAAATTTGAATCAAGTTTTATTTTTTTACTTTTACATCATGAATTAAGTTTTAATATGCTACCTAAAACAGGAAGAAATACATAATTCCTTTAAAAATGTCTCATTACATCAAAAAGACAAAAGCGGGAACTCCGGGAGGAGTTGAGTATGTTAATTAGCTTAGCTGTAGTAATAATCATTCACTATGTATATATGCATAGCAAAATATTATGTTATATACCTGAAATATATATGATTTTTTTAAAATACAAAAATATATTTACTATTGTTTAAATATTTTTTTAAAGATTTTATTTATTTATTTATTCATGAGAGACAGAGAGAGAGAGAGAGAGAGAGAGAGAGAGAGAGGCAGAGACACAGGCAGAGGGAGAAGCAGGCTCCGTACAGGGAGCCCGACGTGGGACTCGATCCCGGGTCTCCAGGATCACGCCCTGGGCTGAAGGCAGTGCTAGACCACTGAGCCACCTGGGCTGCCCATGTTTAAATACTTTCGAAAATTTTTTTATTTTCGAGATAATTTTGGATTTCCAGAGTTGTTGCAAATTTAGAACAGTTCTGCACATCCTTCACCCATGCTCCCTATGTTAATATCTTACATAGTCTTAGATTATCAAAACTAAGCAATTAAACTTGTGCTATATCATTAAATAAAGTAGATAGTGTGTTAGGATTGTTTTTTCCACTAACATCCTTTGCTTTTTCAGGATCCAGTCCACGACTCCACATTTCATGTAGCCGTCATGTAGTCTCCTCCAATATATGACCATTTCTCAGTCTTTCATTTTTGATGTTGACACTTTTTAACATCGTTGGTCAGTTACTTTGTAGAGTGTCCCTCAACTTATATTTATTTTTTGTTTTCTCATAATTGGACTGAGGTTCTGCACCATAGAGTCGGAGACTATGAAGGCGATAGGCCCTTCTCAGTGTGTTATAACAGGGAGTATGCTAAGTTGATATATATTACTTGGTGTTAACCTTGATGCATTGGTCAAAGTGATGACTGCCACTACCTACAGTTGATTCTTCACTGTAAGGCCACTGAATATTTAGAGAGATGTATTTTAAGACAATGCAATATCCAATATTCTTTTTAGACTTATACCTACTAATTTTAGCATCTGTTGATAAATCTTGCCCGTGGCAATTATCACTGCTGTGGTTGAATGGCGGTTTTCTATTTCCCTCATTCCTTCCACATTTATCAACTGAAATTCTTTTGGGAAGAATAGTTGACCTTTCTCCTTTATTTTATATATA